CAAATGGAGTCACTCCTTTTCAGAACCTCCTTTGATGTTCTCAACAGCTAACCACATGGTTTTCAGCCGTATTTTTATTCCCTGGGGGAGACAGTTCATCAACTGCTTTTACAGTATCTTCACCTAAGAAAGACTGTGTCCTGCAGCCCAGCACCAGGTCAGGTGCAGCTCTGTTCTTCCCGCTTCTTTCCTTCCTCACCTGAGGCTGTAATCCCCGGTCCTGGGCTTGGTTACCGTGGGGATGACTCACACTACAGGTGGGGGTTGAGCTTTTGCACAGGAAGGGAAGTAGGCTGTCCCTGCCAACCCTGGAGTCCAGACTGGACGCAGAGAGAGCGCTCCCTCGGAATGACACAGACACACCCCAGATGTGGAAGTAGCACGTCCAGGTGGCTGTGGGCCTCCTTCGCCGTGCCTTTCCTGGAGACTCCTGTGTTTAATGTGGGGGTGGACTAGGCATTCATTGTGCTCAACAGTCCCTGGGTTGGTGGCTCTTACAGTCCATTGGGGCTTAAATCAGCTGAGAACGCTATTTGCATGAGTCCTTATTTGTGATGAAATCTGTACTTTAGCAGGAGTTTCTTTTCATGTGTAATTATTTTCTTGGTGCTTCAAAGCTGGAAAGAAAAGGCAGCAGTTATCCCAGTGTAGCAAACCCTTTGTGATGTTTGGTGAGCCTGCTCTCTGTCCCGCTGGACGGTAAGCTTTCTAGGGCTTCTTCATCTCTGTGGTTCCAGTGCCTGGCATGTAAAAATGTTTGAACTGAATCTCTGAAACCATCATGTCTGTGTACTTGTCTGCCCTCTGGAATGTTTCAAGGGAAAAACATGTTTGCTTCAGCTGCAGAAAGATTATTTTTGAGACATTCCAGTTCGTCCTGTAGCAGAGTAATCCTGAATGTCTGCAGGGGTGCAGTGGGAGACAGTGGTAGCCCGAGCCATGCTCCCAGCCCTGCCACCTTCTTACGGGAGGCCCCCCTGGGATCAGCTGTCTGTGTGTTTGAGAAACCGAGCATGCCTTCTGAGGCAAACTGTCCCTGAGAATTGGGCATGGTTGGACAGTTTTAGCTGTTCACAGCATGAGTGTTAACAGTCCAGGGGATTTCACAGTGCGGATCCAGGTATTCAATCCAGATCCTGCTCTCACCTGCACCCAGTTCATCCTTTTTCTACATGCCCTTATTCATAAGACATCTTTTTGAAACTGTAGATTTAAGTGACTTTTTGTATATTTTTAGCTGTTGCCTTATCTTGTGTTTGGCCGAAAAAAGAAAAAGAAAATTCAAAATAACAAAAAACAGTAGGGTGGTCTGTTTAGATAATATGCATTTTGTCTTGTGTATGCCTGGACCGTCACTTGGGAGGGTGTATAAAACTGGTAGTTGTGGTTATCTCAGGGAGGACTGAGGGGCATGGGATTGGGAGGGGCAGGAAGACTGAACTTTTCATTTTATACCATTTCATGGGATTTTAATTTTTACCTTATCCTGTTATTTATTACTTAAAATAAGTTTCCTACCATTTTCTACATTCTCAGAGATCTTTTTAATTTTTTTTTTTTAAAGATGACCAGTAAGAGGATCTTAACCCTTGACTTGGCGTTGTCAGCACCACACTCTCCCAAGTGACACAAGCTGGCCCTGAGGTCTTTTTAATTTTTGAAGGACTGAGTTTTAGTTTTAAGTACAAATAATTATTTGCTTATAGGAAGGAATCATTTGATAGGTTGCAGGATGTTTTTCAGAATGTGGGCTTAAAAATAAACTTGCTACATTGGGATTATGGCTTTCTTTCTGTACTCTGCCCTCTGGGCTAGGAAAATAGACCCAGCCCTGATTTCTGAGATAATTCAAGAAATTGAATAATCAATTCAATTGTTGGGCCTGTGTGAAAGGTAGTGCTGTGCACTACACACTGCATGGCCATCCTGGGCTTTATTACTTATGAACTACATCTGTGAGGTGCAGGAGTTAAGTGGACACAGGGAAGGAAACACTTGAAAACAGAATTGATCTTAAATGTTAGATCCCACAAATTTGTTCTGGTTTGGGATTTCTTAGGGTGAGATGTTCAATCACAGCTCTCACCCGTCTCTCAAATGATGGTCGTGTCCGATATCCCTTGCTTAAACTGTTTTTGAATTTCAGGATAATATTGGTAGTAGAAGAAACAATTTCTGTCTTCCTTTCTAGCTTTAATAAATCCAGCACAAATTTTTAAGAATTCTGAACATTTGCATGGGATGCTTACCTGCTGAGATCCAGTCTGCTTTTCACGTCCTTGGCTACTTGGTGTTTGGTTTTAGGTTTGCTTGTGAAAATAAGCGGCAAGAACAGTTGGTGAAATTTCTGTTCGCACCTCTTAGTGGTGTTGGAAGTTTCCAAAACAAATCTGACTTTAGTGCCTGGGGGTTTGGACTTGAACAACAGGTAATAATTGGCCCTCAGGAGGATTCTGGAGTTGCTTGTGGTGCTCAAAATAAACACTGTAGCAGTGATACTTTTGGAAAGGCAGGCCGGGTCCCGGGAACTGTCCAGTGGCCTTCTTTGAAGATCTGTGACGTTTTTGCATCCCCAGGGAGGGCTAACGGGCGAGGCTGTGTGGAAGAGCTGGTGGAGAGGCCCCTGCCCGGCCCCTTCCCTGGGCGCCTGCGGCTGCTGTGGTCATCTGGGCTTCTGCATTAGATCTGTGACGTTTTTGCATCCCCAGGGAGGGCTAATGGGCGAGGCTGTGTGGAAGAGCTGGTGGAGAAGCCCCTGCCCGGCCCCTTCCCTGGGCGCCTGCGGCTGCTGTGGTCATCTGGGCTTCTGCATTCAGCTTTCAGCAACTTCTCCATTTCAGGTGCCTACAGTTGGTAATCACAAAAGCCAAACACCCTTCATCACCAAGGCTACCATTTACCCACATGACTGTTAGAAGAGGAAAAAAATAATTCTCTCAACATCTCATGGCAAATATGCAAACTACCCCAGGCCAGGTCCCAGAAAATGTGCTGGAAAGACACTAGGCTTTCAGGGGTGAAGTTGTCTATAAAATCCTGGCATCTTCCAGCACCTGACGTTCTCCTCTCCCCACCTGTGGACGGTTGTTTTAAAAACCAAAAAGGATTTCTCCTAAAGGTTTAAAAAATTGTAGCTCACATAGTTTTATCAGATCTTGGCTGTATTTTGTAAGTTTTTCTTGATGACTTTGTATTCTGGACTTTAGGTAATCTTATGGCTTATGATTGATGGCAAACTGTGGTGGTTTCCCCCCTTTCTCCTTTTATCTTTGGACATTTAAACTAGAAGCTTAAACTTTTCTTAAAAAGAATTTAGTTTGAGCCCTCCTCTCTGTTACAACAGATGGCCCATCAGAGCTGAATTAGAAGAGGGGAGTTCAGAGCAGGAATCTTGGTGTAGGAGAAAGAACAGGGGGGTTGGGGAAATGCACAGCTGATTCAGAATCCTAGCTGAACCCCATAGCAGTTGCAAAATCTTGTGCTAATTACCTAATTTCTGAGCTTCAGTTTCTTTATCTGTAAAATGGATATAATATCCGCTTTATTTCATTCTTGTGAGACTTAAATGCGATGTTTCTAAGTGTATGCAATGCCGGGTATGCTGTAGGTGCTATTTAAGTGTGAGGTTTCTACTTTCCTCTGCCCCTTTCCTTAAGTGTAGAACAGGCTAAGATAGTGGGGACTTCGATCTGCCCTGTGATCAAGCCACGGCCGAAGGTGAAAGAGGAAGTTGTACTCATTTGGGCAAAACCATCATTTCCTTAAAGTCCATGGCCCTCAGCTCTTAAATAGGTCACTGAGAAGAACGTGAGAGTGTGGGTTCTCGGTTTGCGAGGGAGACACTGTGGCCGGCTCTTGGTAGACCAGGTATTTGGAGCTCTTTGTTATGTGATGACCCTGCTACTAATTGGTCTCACAATCTCACAGTTCACCAAAGATACTGGGTTCCCAGGTGGAAAATGAATGCCAAGGGGAGATTCCCTTTTTCTGAAGTTTGTCTGTCGGTGGAGCTGGACTGGTATGATGTCATTTGCCGTATCTTGAAGGAGCTTACAAGTGACCAAGTGAAATACTTGAATAATGTTTGAAATGTTCCTCTTTTGATCATTAGGCTAGGGAAGAATGCCTCCTTTCCAATTTCTCTATCTTTTTTGTTATTGTGGTAAATATATATAACAAAAATGTACCATTTTAACCATTTTTAAGTGTACAGCTCTGGGGCATTAAGTACGTTCACGCTGCTGTGCGGCCGCCAGCACCGTCCACCTCCAGGACTCTTTACTTCCCCAGCTTGAACCCTGAAGCCGTCAGACACTCCCGCCCCTCCTCTCCTTTTCCCAGCCCCTGGCAGCCACCATCCCGCTTTTTGTCCTGATGAGTGTGGCTACCCGGTACCTCACGTAAGTGAAATCATTCAGTGTTTGTCATTTTGTGACTCATGCGTTTCACCCTTTTTTTTTTTTTAAACTCCATCTTGTACGTTCTGTTTCTCTTTGGCAGGGACTATTCCTTACCACAAACTCTTGTTTTTCTCTGAGATTTGCATGTAAATCACTACCTTCTTAGCTATTTGTGCACGATCTTTGCATTTTTACCCTATTGAAGGAAAATACCAGTTGTCAGAAGTGATTCGATGAAACATCTATGTTATTTTTTCTTTATTTTTAGAAAGAGCTCTTTACTGAATCAGGACTTTAGGTGATCATACACTAAGTACCGCATCAGATCCTGTCTTTGCCTCACAGTGGTCTTCCCCAAAATAAAAGTACAAGTCCCGACCTCCCCCACCCCACCACTCCCCAGAGGGGAAGTGTGGCCGCGTTTGCAGAGCAGGTGGGGGTGCCGAGGGGAGAGGCCAGTTCACGGGGACTAAGGAAAGGGTCTAGGCTCTTGCATTCAAAGGTAACCTCCCGGCTTTCTCTTTCAGGTGGTATACCCTGAAATCCAAACCAGGAAAGAAGGACAAAGAGCGAGGGGAGATTGAGGTTGACATCCAGTTTATGAGAAACAACATGACTGCCAGCATGTTTGACCTTTCCGTGAAGGACAAGTCTCGGAACCCGCTTGGAAAGCTGAAGGACAAGATCAAGGGGAGGCGGAAGGACAGCGCCTCAGACACTGCTTCAGCCATCGTCCCCAGCACGACCCCCACAGTGGACAGCGACGACGAGTCTTCGAAAGACAAGAAAAAGAAGTCGAAGATCAAGACCTTGTTCTCCAAGTCTAACCTGCAGAAGACGCCACTTTCTCAGTCCATGTCTGTCCTGCCTACTTCCAAGTCCGACAGAGTGCTGCTTCGTCCTGGAGACTTCCAGTCCCCGTGGGAGGGCGACGACGATGGGGATGAGTCCTCCTCTGCCTCGGAGGGTGAGTTTCTGCTTCCTCCTCATTGGGCCTCCCGTCCTCTACTCGGCCTGCGTTGCTTTGAGAGAGAAGAAACAGACACATCTTAAGAGGAGGATTTTTCTTTTTTTTAAAGAAGGTGACCGGTCGGGGATCTTAACCCTTGACTTGGTGTTGTCAGCACCACGCTCTCCCAAGTGAGCCACGGGCCGGCCCCGAGAGGAGGATTTTAACTCCGCTCCTCAGTTACTAACACGGTGGTGGTGGTGGTGATGATGTCTTCTCTCTTTCCAAGCCGTCTGGTTCCTCTAGGAATATGCATAAATTCCTTTTCCAAAATGTCTGGCACTGTGACCTGTGTCCATTAGTATGAGCTTTTGGAGATAACAGAATGAGTGCATCCAGGTTTTTTGTGGTTGTTGTTTTAAGGGTAAAACCGTGGAACCTCATAGTAATTCTCATTTCATTTATTCATCAGGTCCTTACTGAACTCCTGTTATGTGCTTCACCCCCATGGGATACATATGTCCCTGATGGAAGCCCAGAGTTTCTGCCTCCTCCTCGCTGGGCCTCCCGTCCTCTACTCGGCCTGCGTTGCTTTGAGAGAGAAGAAACAAACACATCTTAAGAGGAGGATTTTTCTTTTTTTTAAAGAAGGTGACCGGTCGGGGATCTTAACCCTTGACTTGGTGTTGTCAGCACCACGCTCTCCCAAGTGAGCCACGGGCCGGCCCCGAGAGGAGGATTTTAACTCCGCTCCTCAGTTACTAACACGGTGGTGGTGGTGGTGATGATGTCTTCTCTCTTTCCAAGCCGTCTGGTTCCTCTAGGAATATGCATAAATTCCTTTTCCAAAATGTCTGGCACTGTGACCTGTGTCCATTAGTATGAGCTTTTGGAGATAACAGAATGAGTGCATCCAGGTTTTTTGTGGTTGTTGTTTTAAGGGTAAAACCGTGGAACCTCATAGTAATTCTCATTTCATTTATTCATCAGGTCCTTACTGAACTCCTGTTATGTGCTTCACCCCCATGGGATACATATGTCCCTGATGGAAGCCCAGGAATACAGTTCCTTTAACTGAGAACTAATTGTGTATTTTCAACCACACTTTCGATGACTAAATTATCCCCACACTGGCCAGGCTCCCCTACTCTACCAAGAGTGCTGCCCTTTCCACTTGTTTAACATGGGATTTTTCAGTTCAGCACTGCTGACAGTTTGGGCCAGGTAATTCTGTGTTGTGGGGGGCTGTCCTGTGCATTTTAGGGTGTTTAGCAGCATCCCTGGCCTCCACCTGCTAGATGCCAGTAGCACGATAACTAAAAATATCCAGACCTTGACCAGTGCCCCCTAGCCCCAGGGCAACCCCCTTGTTTAGCTTCTTATCCCCTTTCTGTTCTCTGTTGTTCTTCCCACAGTCATGTCACACAAGAGGACAGCAGGTGTGGATCCTAAGCAACTGACCCAGGTCAACTTCACCCTTCCCAAGAAAGAAGGACTCTCCTTTCTTGGCGGCCTTCGGTCTAAGAATGACTTCCTCTCCCGCTCCAATGTCTGTATCAATGGGAACCACGTGTATCTGGAGCAGCCTGAAGCCAAGAGTGAAAGCAAGGACAGCAGCCCTTCCTGCTCCCCGTCCCCCCAGGGCTTAAGGAAGAAGCGTTTGTTCTCATCCACCGACAACCTGGCCGCAGGGTCCTGGAAGGAGCCCGGGGAAGGAGGTGGGACGTCCTCCGACAGCTGGATCTCAGAGTCTTCCACCAAGGACTCTCTGAAGTCCATGTCTCTGCCGTCCTACCAACCTCAGGTCAGTGGGGACATTAGGGGAAACACAGCTCCTGCAAACTTGGAGGCCGCGAGAGAAACCAAGGAGAGCAGGAGGCAGGAGAACAAGAAGGCCTCTCTGTTCGCTCTGGTGACGGGAAGGAAGGACGTGGCTAAGGACGTGGCTCAGGGCGGTGACAGCGAAAGCCCTCCTGCCGCCTCGCACGCCCAAGTCAAGCCCAGGGAGGGCGGGCCAGGGCCTGTCGAAGGCCTCGTGAGTAGATCGGAGAAAGATACTGCATCTGTTGTCTCCGGACGGGGTAACTCCCTGAACCCCTTTGAGGAAGATACGCAGGTCACAGAACCAGCAGCCGACTCCGAGTCCAAGTCTGCGCCGAAGCCACCTGTTCCCTCTGCAAGGGCTCCTCAGACCAAGGCTGTCAAACCTCGGTGAGTCTTGGCTCTTCCCATGCAGGGCCTTTCCACGTGCTGCTGGTGATCAGCAGGCCTGCTGGAAGAGCAGAGCTTGCTTGTTCCAGGATGGCGCCTGCATATGCCGAAGGCTTACTAGCCAGAGTGGTTTTTTCAACCAGTTTCTACGAGCCGCCTGGCCTGGCCTGAACAAACTGCAGTGATGTTTCCTAGCCCGGGGTCACTGCCCAGCAGGCATGGTCTGTGTCTCAGTATGATAATCAGGTCCCAGCGGAATGCGGTGGTTTATAGCAGATTCTGAGTGATGCAAGTTGGAAATAGCAGGTTTGGGTTGAAGTGTGTGCAGAACCTGTACTTATTAAGTTCTTATCGCACGTTTCCCTTGAGGCCAGTGTTATCTTTCCACCTTGCCCTTTGGCACTGGTTTGCTGGCATGAGAGACCCCCGGTCCACTCTTGAGTGTGCCGTTCTCTGCGTGTTTACTCTGTCCCTGACTGTAGGAGCCTGTGTGAGGCTTGGGGGGCTTCTGCTTTTCCATGACTCTCATTCATACCAACAAAATATTTCTGTGGTCTGGGGTGTGAGAGACTTTTTTTGGAGATTCTGCTTACTTTGATCTGACACACACACACACACACAGAGACACACAGAAACACACACATAGACTGTTCCTTTTAAATCTGTGCCTGTTGCTTTGTGTTACATCTTTCATTACTTTGACCTTTTTAGATGCTTTTTGCCCTGTAATAATCAATCGCTAGGGCTTTGTGTTAATCACCAAAAGAAACTGTAGGCTGTTGCTTTACCTGTGTCTTTTCATCGCTGTTGCAACAGACCTCCCTGTGGCAGATATCCTTGGTGGTAAAAGTGTCCCTTTTGTATGTGAAGTATCGGTGTTCCTTCTTTAATTTCTTAGGATATTGTCCCAAATGTAAAAAGTTCTCCCCTTTTGAAGAACTTCGTGTATGTTTTCTTTGTCTGTCACGATGCACCTGCAACTGACCTGCAGATTTTATTTCGTCCTTTTTGCAGACTGGCAGTGTCTCCAGAGGCTCAACCCAAAGCCAGCCTCCCTTCTCCCCCCGACTCACTTCCCTCTTTTTCCTCTCTCCCTTCCAGTTCTGCTCAGGCACCTGTCCCTTCTGAGCGGGGGCATGGTTCCGAGACACAGTCCTCTGAGAGTCCTTCTGCCTTCTACTCTTTCTTGTCTCCCATGGTAGCCCCCATTTCTACATCCACTCCGATTGAGGACTGGCCTTCCACGGACAAGGGCCAGGCCAGTTCTGAAGAGCCATCTTTTCTCCTTAAAGCACAGTTGCCAAAGGAGAGTTTAACACCAGTTCCAAATGCTGTTTCTTCTGCGTCGGGCTCACTTTTTGAACAGCTGCCCCTTCCAGTGTGTGAAGGGATGGAAGGTTCTCCAGTGGGGGCCATCAGTGAGACGGGCACGGAGGAGAGTACTAGCAGGAGGGAGTCAGGAAGATCTCACCTGGAGCAGCCCGAAACGGGCCAGCGAGAAGAACTCCTGAGGTTTTCCGCCCCAAGAAGGGACGACATCCCTCCATCCGAGGCAGCCCCGGGAGTGACGTGTGCCCTTTCTCTCAACAGCGGCAGCATCGCAAGCCCAGCTGGGGAGCCCCCGACAGGGGGACACACAGACTTTGAGAGTCAGTCTAGATCTTGTGTGGAGCACACAGTTAGGGATGAAGGAGTGACTTCCGCGCATAGGGAAGCGGCGCCCACTCTTCAAGCGGGAGAGCCAACCCCCACATTTGACTCCATGACGCGGAAGCATGGAGAGATGAGCCTGCATGTCACCGAGGGCCAGAAGAAACCCAAGAAGCGTGTGTCGTTTTCTGAGCAGCTCTTCACGGAAGAGGAGGTGGAAGAGGACAAGTGTCACCCCCAAGAGCTGGCATGTGCGGGGGCTGCCGCTGGAGACGTGGCTGCTGGAGACGTGGCCGCCGCCGGAGACGTGGCTGCTGGAGATGTGGCCGCCGCTGGAGACGTGGCCGCCGCTGGAGACGTGGCCGCCGCCGGAGACGTGGCTGCCAGAGAGCCTCCTGGGTCTGCACATGCAGAAGGCTTGGAGAGGGGGCTGGAGACGGCACCCGGGCTGCTGGCTGGTGGCGTCGCAGCTTCCATGGCGGGTTGCCTTGGTTCCTCTCTTGAGAATTTCTCAGAAGGCCCCACAAGTGCAGCAAGCTCGGCAGAAGACAGGCTGTTCTTCAGGGCTGAGGGAGACGATAC